GAAAGTGGTGCGATTAGAATCGTCAAGTTTCTTAAAGTTTACCTCAAGTTGAAATTGTGTAACTTACCGAAGAGGTAAAATGTGATTTTTTTGAAAAGTGGATTTTTTTGGATGTGTTCACTTCGGCGTTATGTGCTTTGAAAAGCAAAGATCGAATTTCGAATTAGAAAAGTATACACTTGCGTTGTCCACTTTCTACGGTAATCGACTATTTCCATATTAACGGAATTATACACTTTTTATCCGATTCTAATCACTTCCCTCACTTCCCTTGTAAGATTGTTATCTTACTCACATGGATTATCCTTGCATTTAAAGAGAACTGATCCATTCTACTGATAGATGGCTCTTACTTTTTCTTTCAAAATAAGTATGTAAAGACTGTATCAATAAATAAAACAGTAACCGAGTCATGTAAGTGTTTGCCAACCAATTCTGTCGATGAAAATTAAGTTTTAGCTCTTTAACAAATATCATCACTCGTAATGACAAATTGTTTGTAAATACTGAAAGAAGAAATGTTCTGTAGTACAAGCCATGGAAAAATTAATTCTTGTTAATTTCTCTTTACTCATCCAAAGGAACATTTCAAAGTGATTTCATCAAAAAAACTGATCTGAAAAAAACTGGACAAAACCAACTCTCATCAACCAAATTGAATCTCAATTCTTGACTGAACAAAGTAAAGAACATTTTATAGTAAAAAATGTTCAATAATTTACGCCATCAACATGAATAATAAAAAAAGGTCTTCACTCAATACCTTTAGATTTTGTGTTTTTCTCTCCCAACATGATTTTCTCTGAAACCTGAATTCCATTGACCATTTCTTGAAGATAAAGTCGAATGTTACCTTTTGTATTGCCTCGGAATTTTTTATTATTCATTTCTGTTCGACCGCAGTTTTTGTTTGTTATATTTATAGATTGGAAAATTGTTTCAATTGATAAACTCGAGATTACCTTTTTTTGTCCACTTTTTTGATTGAGCTGCTCTTTCAAGGTTACAGTTGACGGAAACTGTAGTGTTCATTTTCAATTCCCAGGTTGAGCTCGTCAATTGTTTAACTAAAGATCTGTTAATATCGATGTCGTGTTTGTTGTCATTTTGAATGAATCAAGGTTGAACTTTTTCTCGGTTACATTTTACTCATGTGTGTGTGTGTGTTGGTGGTTCTTTGATGAAGATGTAAAGTGAAATTTGCACATTTGGTGAATGAGTTAATAAAAGAAATGAAAATGACATGAAAATGAGTAACAGAGGAAATAAAAGTGTTTCTTCCACTTGATAATGGGAAAAGGTTGCTTCTCTCATCTTTACATGAACACAACCACCATTTGATTTCTAGGATACAAGCCACAAGTCCCTTGATACAAAGTGAAAACTCTGTCACTCAGCTTTCCCTGATCATTCTAATATTTTTTCTTCTTCTCTTCTTTTCTTCTTCTTCTCTGTTTCATCATATATATACATTCAGATTGAAACGAGCATTGAACTGAAATATGATAACAGTGAAAAAGAGAAAGAAAAATATGTATATTTGGTTGAATGAAAGAGAGCACAGAAACTGATATATAAACTGACAAGCAACTGTAAAGATACCTTTTGATAAGCATTAAATTGAAGAGACCTTTTTAAATCAGACTTTTCATCGAAAGAAAAAGGAATCGAGAAAAAATGTAAAAACTTGAACCTTTCCACTCGCATGAACCAGCACAAGAAAAAAATGAAGAGACAAACAAAAAACAACTGAACGTTTACATAAAAAGGCAAACTTGGCTGCTTACATTTACTGTTGATAGGAACAAGAAAAATGTATAAATAAATATTGAAATATTAGCAACTTGTGGATGTAAAACTTGTTGTTTCAAGATGATAATAGACGAGGGTTGTTGTCGAGATGAAAGGGTAAAGCAGAGGTTTTCCCATTAAATTTACCCGGTTAATCCAATTTAAGTCAATCAAAGTTTTCCATAGTTGATACGATTCCCAAGGAGGAAGAGAGGTAAAGATCGAGAAAAGAGTGAAGGGAAGATGAGGAAGATGAGGATGCTTTAGTGAAGCAGGATATGTAAAGCTTGATGGAGAAACTTTATTCGTCCGCATCTTCTTTTCTTCTTCTTCTTCTTCCTTTTTTTCTCTCTCAGGTGACTGTTATCTTTCTTTCTGCCAGCAGAT